TGTAAAATATGGACTTCTGCATCTGAATTGATCCCCCTGTGTCCTGGCTGATCTCTAACTGCGTGTGTGGATGTAATTACCTTCCCCATTTCTGACTGGGAGCAGGGTGGACACGTGTCAGGGTGGGCTGTGACGCAGAGCTGTGTGCGTGGGGTGGCACAAGGGGCACTGCTTTGTCTCACTGAAAGGCCATGAGTTGTGCTCTGAGTCCCCACACCTCAGCCAGGGCTCTGCAGTTTGTGTCAGGTTGTTGTGAGCGTCAGGGGGACTGGGGATGGGAAATCCTGCAAGACCAAGGGCTTTGTTTGGGTTTGACAATAGTGAAATGGAGCTTTTCAGGCCAGACACAGCTTACTGTGGTGGGATGTTCCTGTGGGATGGCAGCAGTGTGGAGCTGGGTCTGTGTCCTCACCTGGAAAGCCTTTTCAGCTAGATTCATGTTTTTCCCCAGCTGTGACAGAATTTGTGTATTTCCATGTGTTTTTCTGCAGGTCCCAGATGTGTCAGATCTGGGCACCCTGTCCCTGCCAGGTCCTGCTGCTGTCCCAGCCCTGCCCCAGCCTCCACCCTGCCCTGCTTTCTCATACTGCTTTAATCCCAAACAGCTGCCCCTGTGATTCCTGGGCTGGTTCATGAAATACACTGGTGCCAACTAGGGCAGGATGACCAAAATCCTTTCTCTTTTGATCTGTCCTGAGAGTTGAGCTCTGATACTCAGAGTGAAACCACTAGAGTGGTTATCACATCCTCTGGCTTCTTCTGGACTTTTCCTGCCCAACTTTAGTACCCAGTACCAGTCATCCACAGTGCGAGGCATGAGCCAAGTCATTTAGCTGTTCTTCAATATCAAACATGAAAAATAATTTCATTTCAATATGCAGCATGGAAAAGCACTGAGATGGGATGGAATTGGGGAGGTAAATCAAGGAACCTCTTCCCTGAGCCCCATGCTGAGGGATGTTCCTCCATTTAAAGCACAGATTAAATGTTGCATTCCAATATCTTACATCTGTTAAGGAGATTAAGAACTGCAAGTCTGCCTGTTAATATTTCACACCAGGGTAGGTATAAGCCAGTAAACCACCACCTCATTAGCGTCCTCAGACTCTGTTTTAATGAGATTTTTATTAACGACTGACATGACCTTTTGCTCCCTCTTAAGTCTCTGCTATTGATTTGCCAAGGAGAGCAAAGCCTCTTCCCTTGCTCCCGAGCTGCTGGGAGCAGTGGCAGCCTGGGCTGTGGCTCCCCTCTGGATCCTGCTGCAGGTACCATCACCTTCTTGCTCTGCTGGGGAAAGGCAGTTTGGGATCCCTAGGGATTGCTTCCCTGGTGTGTCAGGAGCAGCTCCATGGAGTGTTATTGGAATGTAACCCCTCACTGTGAATCTTCCACGCTCAGGGCTTGTCCTTCAGCTTTGCATTCAGACCCTGTTGTTCCATGCGCCGTAACAATCCTGAGGTGTCTTCCCTGTGCTCTGCAGGCACAGGGATTTGTGTGCTCTGGGCAATAACCCTCATCTCTCTCCTCTGCAGGTGCTGCTGAGCCAGGTACACCGACTGCGAGCCCTGGATCTGCTGGGGAGGTTCCTGGACCTGGGCCCCTGGGCAGTCAGCCTGGTGAGTGGTTGCTGCTTGTGGGCTTGGAAATGCCACTTGTCTCAGTGTGGGTGATGATCAGAGAGTAATGGAATGTCCTGAGCTGGAAGGGGCCCCCAAGGATCCTTAGTCCAACTCCTGCCCTGCCCACGGCACCCCAGCAGTCCACCCCTGAGAGCATAGCATTGGCCAAACTCTCCTGGAGCTCTGTCAGGCTTGGGACTGTACCCACTGCCCTGGGGAGCTGTTCCAGTGCCCAAACAACCTCTGAGGGAAGAACCTTGTCCTGATATCCAACCTAAACCAGTTCCGGTGCCCAAACATCCTCTGGGGGAAGAACCTTCTCCCAATATCCAGCCTAACCCTGCCCTGACACAGCTCCATGCCAAAACCAGACAGGATGATTTAGGGAAGGAAGATGTGGAGGATAATCCACAGTTATGACAAATGACCACTCTGTGTGTTCAGGTGTGTGAAGTGGAGCAGAAGTGGTTTATATTAATCAAAAGGCCCAATAGCTGTTTGTATCCATTACAGCCAAGAGGAGTTCCTTGGGAATAGTTTAGTGTAAAATAATAGGGATAAACCAGAAGGAAATATCTAGGGCAAGTAAGAAGGTTTGTCATGTAAAAGAAATAGTCCCAAAAAGGCATATACATTTATTATCTGTTCTCTCAGCTTACTGGCTGCATCACCGTCTTCTCTGCCTTTACCTGTGTGGTCTCTAGGTTTTCCAAGCTCCTCTGGAGCAGGCAGCAGCTGCATTCTGCAGTCTGGGAAGTGGCAGTAGTGTGGAGCATAAATAAGAATTAAGGAGAGGAGCAGGTTAAAACACTCTTGTAAATGGAGCCTTTTGTTGATGAGAGAGATCAAGATGAAGCACCAGCTGGTGGTGGAGCAGCAGAGATGGGACTTGTTTGTGGCTTTCTTTACCTTCCTCTCCCAGCTCAACCAAGAGTCCCTTCTGCAGGGGGAGGCTGCAGGCACAGGCAGCCTGGGGAGAAAGTGATGTTAAAGGGGTTTTTTAAACCTCTGGATGGTAAACTTCTATGAGGATCAGGACACAGCTGAGGCCTTTGCTCTGGCTCTGACATGTTGGGGTGATGCCCAATTGCCCCCAGGCTGGGGCTGCTCCCCCTGAGCCCAGTGCTGCCAGTGCCATATTCACACTGAGCTCTGGGAAGTGTCAGCACTCCCAGGGAGATTCCTGAGGATCTCTCGTGTTCTCTGTCCTCCTATGAGTGGTCTCTAATCCCATGGAAAAGGCTCACTAGAAGTCTTTATAAGGAGAGACCTGATTCATTCCCAGTGGGAAGGCTGGAATTCCTGGGCCTTTGCAGTGTGTTTACTTGGGAGAGCAAATGGCCCCAGCTGAGGGGAGGGAGTGGATTGTGAAGCATAAAATAGCTGAGGCTGGAAGAAATGAAAGCTGGGGCTGGGTTAGCTCAGAGTCTCCATGGGCCAAAGGAGTCTGAAAATATCTGATGACATGCAAGATTAAAATGAGCAACAAACACGCACAGGGATCCTCTTCACTAGAGACCTGTGAAACTGTTCTCTAGCAGATTTCTCAGCTGTGGCACTAAAGATGCTGCATCTTGGCAGTGTGCTGGGTCCTGGCAGTGTTCTGGGTCCTGAGTCCTCAACCCACGGGGCTGAGCCACTTCTGGGGGTCTGGTCATGGGAGTTTGCCCATGAGGGTTTTGCTCATGGTGGGTTGGGTCATGGTGCTTTGCCCACAGGTTTTGCTCATGAGATACGATCTTCTCCCTGCTTCCCAGGCCCTCTCTGTTGGCATTTTCCCCTATGTGCTGAAGCTGCTTCAGAGTTCAGCTCGTGAGCTGAGACCACTCCTTGTCTTCATCTGGGCCAAAATCCTGGCAGTGGACAGTGTGAGTACTCCCTTTTGTTAAAGAGAGCCTCAGCCAGAGCTCTAGTTGGTGGTTTAAAACAAATCAGGACCAATGATTGCAGATAGGTTTGTGTAGTTGTATACATGACTTTGTTGTTTGTGGGTGCAATTAGCTGAGCACTATGAAATGATTAGGAGAGGTGCACACATTAATCCAGGTATGATTATAAGCCCATATACAATGTCTGAACTGCTTTGGGTGTTGCATCTTTCCTCTTTGGGGCTTATTTTTGCAGATCTCCTCCATTTCAGTATGGAGAACAGCACTGGATTTGTTGAGGTTTTCCCCACTGTTGATCCAGCATTGTCAGGTTTAGTTTTGTAGCTGTATTTTCATTAGCATCCTAAGAGGATTTTGGAAAGCAAAGAAAATGAAAACTGTTCATCTTAGAGCTCTTCTTGAAAAGCTCATTTCTGGTGCGCCCAGGGCTGGTGCCTCAGAGGGCTCAGGTGATTCCCACTCCCAGAGGGCTCTCACCCCTCCTGCCCCCATCCCATTGCTCCCTCCCATGCTCTGTTACTGCCTCACTCATTTCCAGGCTGAGCTTCACAGCAAAACAGCAGAAAAAATACTCTGAAATGGTATGTTTGGTTTTTTTTGTGCTGTTTCACTCACTCATTCCACCAACACATGGTGGGAGTGGGAGGGGAGGAGGGAGCAGCTTCCACAGGGAAGAGCCATGGACGCTGCCAGGGGAGGGGACAGGCAGTGGCTCCAGTTGTCACATCATGCTGCTGCATTCCAGGAACTGGTGAGATTTTTAGGGATAAGTTACCTGGCACATATAGATAAAGAGCAGATCCATGCTCTGGTCTCTCCCCAGCACTGGGAACTTTATATTTTCAGTAAGTTCAGAACTTGCACACCAAGTCTGCAGCCTGTTCTGGTCATGTTGTATTATTACTCACAGTGCAGCTGCTTATTCTGTGAGGAGGAGGAGGTGTCAGTGGTACTGGAGGCCCATATTGCTCACAGGAGCTGAGCTGGGAGGGGTTGAGCCAGAATTCTGCCTCCCTCCTCTAGCCTCAGGGCTTTGGGTAGCAGAGGCAGCACAGTCCATGAGTGTGGAGTTGATGCCCACATGAAAGCCAAGAGGTTTCGTGTACAGAACAGAAAGTATTGCTGCTGAGAAGGAAGAGGGGGAGAAGAAGGCCTGATGTGTGAGCGTGACACAGGAGTCAGGAAAGCCTCTCAGCTGCAGCCTGGCAGCAATCCAGTCCCTCTGCTCTTTGCTCTGCCAAAACCAGCAGCCTCACTCCCTTCAGCTATCAAATATTCTCTTGCATCTCTGCCTTGCCATCCCCTCCTCTTCCAGCAATTAGTTCCCTCCTTCACCTTCTCCTGATCAAGAATGCATAATGCTGTCTGTGGCACAGCACAGGCAGAGCTGTGTCACAGGGGAAGCTGTTGCCAGCTCAGTGTTTCTGCCTCCAGTTTATAGTGTGGAGCCTTTCAGTGTGGCCCCAATCCGTCAGCCTGAAGCTTCAGTTGGTGTGTCAGCAAACCCATGTGCTTCTCTGCTGATCCCAGGAAACTTTCCCTGTGCTCCTCTGGGCTTGGGAAGGCACTGGAGTTGCTCTGCAGTGTGGGTTGTGTGCAGGAGGAGATGGTGCTGCTGCTGTCCCCATGTCATGCACTGACCAAGTAGTGCTTCTCAAATGGAAACAAGATCTGAGGAAAATGGTTAAGACATGCAAGATTCTTGCACATCTTTGTTCCTCCAGTGATGTATGTTGTGGTTCTCATTGTGTTTCTTGGTCTCCTTTTCAGTCGTGCCAAGCTGACCTGGTGAAGGACAATGGACACAAGTATTTCCTGTCAGTTCTGGCAGATCCTTACATGCCAGTAAGGACAAATATCTTTATTCACACTCTTGTAGCATTTGCTTACCTTGTTTTGGCTGTTCTGCTGCTGTTGTGGTGCTGCTGATGTTAAAGTGGGGCTGCCTCCCCCTCCAGTGACACCCAGTGCTGCACTGGGGAGAGTCACTGCTGAGCTGGGGAGTCAGCAATGCTCCCACCAGCTGTGGGACAGAGGCAGCCAAACCAAGCAAGGATTTACACACTTATGTGAAGTTCTGCAAGCAGATTCCTCAGTGTGAGGATGGGAACAGGGTAGAATTGCCCCATAGCTTTGGTAATTACCTCTCAGCAGCTGTTTGGGTCCCTGTAGTGGGTGCTGTGAGCCTCCCCCAGAGCAGCAGGGTGCCAGGCTGGTTGGGAGGCTGGGGAGGTGTCTCAGGTGTCACAGGGCTGATGCCAAGAGAATTCCAGCTTGCTTTCCCCTCTCTTGTTCATTTAATGTGACACAAAGTGCACTTGGAATAATCCCAGTTCCAGGAGTGTGGGATAGAGCTGTTCCCTGAGCTGTTCTCCAGGTAACTCTCAGTTGTGTGTTGTTTTAAGGCTGAACACAGGACCATGACAGCATTTATCCTGGCTGTGATTGTGAACAACTACAACACTGGGCAGGTGAGTCCCAGCAGCCTTTTCCCTTCATTCCCTCCTGCCTCTCTCTGCCTTGTGCCTTTACTTGATAAAATGTCCTGGTGTGCCTTAAAGCCCAACCCTGAGCTGGGAAACTGAGCTAGGAGGTTATTTCTGTGCAGATTGAAAGGAGAATTGGCCTGGAGGTGTGACAAAGACACTCTGTACCTGGCAGTGGAGGGCAAGGACAGAAGTTGCTCGAGGCAGCCCCTGGAATGGGGTCTGGACCTGACCTGTGGAAATCTGATGGCTGGGAATGGTCTTTGGAATTAAGCCATAAACCTTGGGGCTCTGACAGGTGCAAGGAATATTTCCAGTGAGGAAAACCAGGCTTTATGCACTACAGAAAGCATCTCTAATGCTCGGCTCTTTATGCAGCTCCAGCAGTGTGCAGCTGCCCTGCCCTTCCCACTGCTGCCAAGTGGTGTTTTGTGGCAAAATCAGTGTAGAACCACTGGATAAATATTTCCTCTTGATTTTCTCTTTCAGAAGTTGTGTTTTTCATGGGGATGGGGTGGGGAGCTGACCCCAAGTGAAAGGCACTGGTTTGTGTTGCAGGAAGCTTGTCTTCAGGGGAACCTGATTGCCATTTGCCTGGAGCAGCTGAACGACCCCCACCCGCTCCTGAGGCAGTGGGTGGCCATCTGCCTGGGCAGGATCTGGCAGAACTTCGACTCAGCCAGGTGGTGTGGAGTGAGGGACAGTGCTCACGAGAAGCTCTACAGCCTCCTCTCAGATCCAATCCCAGAGGTAACCATCCAACTGTCTCGGTGAACACCTGTGGAAGTGGCAGAATTCTGGCAGAGGACAGAGATTCCTACAAACCAGAGCCTTCCAGAGCTTTGTGTTTGTGTTCAGAGAGAGATCTTGTTGCTGTTTCTTCAACAAGCCATGCAAGAGGAGAATCCAGGGAGATGCAGGGGGAGTTCATACAGCCCCAGGGCTGTGGGATCTGGGCACTGCCGTTAGGAAACACCACAGGGTTTGCTTCCTTCCATATCACAATCTGCTCAAAATGTGGTCCCAGAACTCACTGTGTGCTGCAAAAAACCCTCTGGTCTTTTTGTCCAAGTATGAAGGCTGTTCTCCCTCTGCTATGTGGAAATCCATCTTTAATTGGAGTGTTTTACCTCTGTGTGACACTCCCCAGGAGAGAAGGGACTGTGCCGAGCTGGCAGTGACTGACAGAGCCTGTCGGACCCGGCGAGGTGGCAGCACACGTGGGAGAAGGGAGATGGAGACAAACACCTCTGACAACGTGCAGGGATTGGAGATGAGATTCCCCTCCACATTCAGGCACTGTCCTGCGTCCTCCACCTCCTGTCTCTGGCCCCACTCTCCCCACCTTGTGAGCAGTGTTTCTGCAGAGGTTGGGTGACATGTCCAAAGTGTTCGCTGATTCTTTCCCTGATCTTTTGCCTTTTTCCATCATCTTCTACCTTCTTATAAGGTAGAAGTATTCCTGTAAGTCTTCCCTTATCTGAAGACTCTAGTCAGCACTCCTATTTATGATTCACATCCCAACAGGAGCTCTGTGTGTGCTTTATTCCCATTAATTAACATTCAAGGTAACCTCAACTGGAAGAATCACCCATGGGAAGGTCACTGAGTATTCTGGGAAATCAAATACTTCCTGTAGCTGTGAATACCTAAAACCCAGTGCTGTGCTGAGGCTGGGTGGGTTGTTACTCCCCATGTAGCCCTCACTGTTCATGCTGTGGTTGAGGTTTCCAGAGGTGCCATTTGTGGGGATGAACTAAATCCCAGTGGCAGATGAGGGAGTAACAGTGACTGTTGGTGTGTCCCAGGTTCGCTGTGCTGCAGTCTTTGCTCTGGGGACTTTTGTGGGCAACTCAGCAGAACGGACTGACCACTCCACCACCATCGACCACAACGTGGCCATGATGCTGGCACAGCTCATCAACGATGGCAGCCCCATGGTCCGCAAGGTACGGGGCTGGGACAGGGAGTGGGCTGGGGCCACGATGGGTGCTCTGCCCTGTGTCCCCTCAGTGAGCTCTGTTGTCCCCTCAGTGAGCTCTGCTCTGTGCCCACTCAGTGAGCTCTGCTGTGCTCCTCACCACTGCAGACATCAATAGAGTTTCCAATGAATTTGACTCATTTGGAAGGATCTGTTGCATCACAGAATCATGGAATGGGTTGGGCTGGGAGAGACCTTACAGCCCATCTCGTTCCATCCCCTGCTGTGGGCAGGGACACCTTCCACTAGCCCAGGTTGCTCCAAGCCCCATCCAACCTGGTGTGGAACACTTGCAGCCACCACTTCATGGAGTCTTTACCCTCAGCTCCCTCTGAGGGACATCCACACAAGTGATGCAGATGCAGCTCAGGGAGGCTGAAGGCTCCAAGCCCTGGCTGTGTGCTCAGGGGGCACATCCAGCAGCATTGAGGGTGCTGCTGCATCCACATCCCCTTTGTCAACACGAATATCACCACATATTCCTTTACCCTGCCCTGGCAGGAGGGGTGTAGCTGCAGTGTGTCAGTATCCAGGTTGTTGTTCAGATCAAAACATTTCTGCTGGTTAGCAGTGGCTCAGGTATTGCACTGAATGTGTGACAGAGGAGTGACCATCTCTGGGGGTTGTGGGAACTCTTATATCCTGTGAGGTTTTAATTTTAAGAGAATGTGGAGACAGGGATAAGGAACAGAGCAGTTACAATGGAATCTTCTCAGGTGCACAAAGCACTGAGGGTTCTTGCTGGGCTGACCTACTGATACTGTTCAGTTGATCACTGGTTTGATTGTAATATTTTACGTTACAGGATCTTAGGTTTTCAGTGAAACCTAAAAACATGGAATTATGGCAGTTCAAAGGGAAGGAGAGGAGGAGGAGGAGAACAGGAAAGTTCTGTTCAGTAAGATGTCCCTGCCTTTATAGCCACAGGGATGGGTCACAGAGTGCCTCAGAGTCCTTCAGCTTTGGAGATGCACCATCGTACATCAGCAGTACATTAAAGAGTTTTTGACGTTCTGGATTGTTCTTGAGGAGTGTTCTGAGGTGTCCTGATGCTTGTGTTTACTTAACTGGAACATCAACACCCTGGCAGTTGTCACCAGCATTGTGAGGATTCATTTCTGCTGTCTTGTTCCAGTATTTAATCAGTTTAATTCGAGAGGGAGCTGCGTGTCACGCTGAATGCTCTGTGAGATCCATAAATCTCTCCTTGGGAGATCAGTCCCTGCGCAGAGACAGCAGCCAAAGCCAGCTCTGTCTCCACTTTGCTGGCCACAAGGGCCAGGCAAGAGGTCCCTGATGGAGGGGCTGAGCTTCACCCTCTGTGCTCTGCCCACCTGTAACTCAGGTGGCAGCTGTGAGGAGGAGGAAGGGACTGGTGAGCACATGCAGGTGAGCAGCACAGAGCTTGTGTCATCATAAACTCATCTCATTCCAACCCCTGCCATGGGCAGGGACACCCTCCACTAGAGCAGGTTGCTCAGAAGGAGTAGCTGTGGGTAGGAGGAGTAGTGGGAGCTGTAGAGGCAGAAAAGGCTTGTGAAAAATTAGGTCTAAGACAGAGGCTTTGGTTTTCTGCAGTTCATCCCTGTGAGTTGAGGGAGAATTATCAGCCTGGATGGCCACCCAGCAACATCACCAATAACAACCATACTGGTCTGTGTTTCCCTCAGTCCCTTGTCTCTGACCTATGTAACCATGAGACGTTTCTTGTGCTCTTTCCCCAGGAGCTGGTGGTGGCTCTGAGTCACTTGGTGGTTCAGTATGAGAGCAATTTCTGCACTGTGGCCTTGCAGTTCATAGAAGAGGAGAAGAATTACCCTCTCCCTTCTCCAGCTGCCACAGGTAGGGGGTTGGGCTTGGGTGGGCAGGAGATGTAGGGCCTGAAAGCACTTGGGAACTGATTTAGGGATTTTTCCCAACACAAGGAAATCCTTGCTGGGGGGATTTCTTGAACTACACTGTTGTGACATGGTGAGGGTCGAGATGGAAGCTCCGTTGTCTGTTCAGCACTGTGAGATGTTGCACTGCAGAAATCCATTCTCTGCTGAGCCTCCACCTGAACCACAGCTGTCACTCGCCAGGAGCTGCAGAGGCTGAACCCCCTGTCCCATTCAAAGGGATTCCCTTCAGATGGGAAGGCTGGGAAATTATAATATCCAGGTCATGGATGAAATATGAATTGAAACCAGGCCTGGAATTCTGTCAGGAAACCAGAATTTTCATACTTCTATAATGAGGGAGTTCAGGGAGTGTTTAACGAGCAGCAGCAGAGAGAAGCTGCCAGTGCTGCCTCCAGCTGCCCTGGCACACCTGCACACCTGTGCCTCCCTGGCACAGGCACTGGTAAGGCTCAGCTCACCTGGTTTTGTTGGATATAACAAAATCTCATCCTGAGCAGCAGAGACACACGGTCCTCCCTAACTATGTACTTGCAGGATCCATTGTTGAACCTCGTTCTCTTTTAGCCCAACAGAAACGACTGAATTCTGCTCACGTTGGTAGTGTTTTAGTTACGTGTTTGCTGGGACATAACCCAAAGGCTGTGGTTGCTTTGGTTCCATGTGTAACTGCTGATGTTTCCCCCACAGAGGGTGGGAGCCTGACACCCGTGCGGGATGGGCCGTGCACACCACGGCTGCGCTCGGTCAGCTCCTACGGCAACATCCGAGCGGTGACCACCGCCAGGAACCTCAACAAGTCCCTGCAGAACCTCAGCCTCAATGAAGAGTGTAAGAGAAATTTCAGAATTCTTTCCCTTTGCCTCTCCTTCTCCCCGTGCCCCTTGTGCAAGGGAACACCACGTGCAGGACAGCACGGGCTGACATGGCACTTCAGCTCAGATTACCCAGCTCAAGGGTTTGGATGAGAAGCTCCTTCATAATTAGTTGCCATTTTCTGGTCATTAGTATTGATTTTTCAGAATGTTTGGGCACCAAAAAGGTGCCTTGCAGCTTCCAGGCATATGTGGATCTTTAACTCAATCTTTTGTTTGTTCTATGTGTAAACATTCAGCATTAACAGAAGGTTGTGGGTTAGCCCACACCTTCCCCGAGTGTGGCAGGACTTAGAGCTGTTATCCCTGGGTAAAAATTGTTCTCTCCCCAGCCCCTGTTCCATCGTCTGCTCTTTTCTCTTGGCAGCTGGAAGCTCCGTTGCATTTTCCCCTGGGAACCTGAGCACGAGCAGCAGTGCCAGCAGCACCCTGGGCAGCCCTGAGAACGAGGAGTACATCCTGTCCTTTGAGACCATTGACAAGATGAGAAGAGTCAGCTCCTACTCCTCCCTGAACTCCCTCATAGGTGAGCAAAGCCTCTCCTGCCCCTCCCTTGGTGTCAGCTCTGCATGTGCTGACACTGGTTCTGGGGAAGCTTTGGGTCTCAGCTCCTGCTAGATCTTACTCCAACCAAATGTCTCCTAACAGTTTAAAATCATGTGTTCATTAGGAACTTGATCCGTTAATTTGCTTTTGATTGTCAGTAATGAAATTGGATCTTCTAAAGCATGACAGGGACATTAGGAAATTTCTCTCCATCTTGAGCTAGGACTTGAGTTTTCCCATTCCCACTGGTGTGTGCTTGATGGCTTGTGCCTGTCTCACCAGAGCTGTGCAGCACAGCTGGAACAGAGTCTGGAGAGGAGCTGGAGGTGGTAAGGGAGACCTGAGAAAAAGCAAAGAGCACAGGCTCCCCAAGGCCTCCCTCATTCCTATTCCATCAAGGAGCTCAGACTCAGCTGGAAATGGCAGAGCTTAGCCAAGTGTTTAGAATTCATAACTCGCACAGAATCCCATTACCTTCCCCTCTGCCTGCTGCCAGCCAGGCTTTTCTCACTCCCACTGAAGAATCACCACCCTCCAGCCTGCTCTGCTCCCCAGGGAGAGATGCCACCAGCCCCAGCGTCGCTCTCAGCACTGTGGCTGCAGCACATGCAGGCTGGGGTTGACTCCATTCCTCTGTGTGCTAATGTGCACTGAGCTGCTGCTGCACAGCCAGTGAGGGGGAGCTCAGGGAGCTCACCTGGGTCACAGGCTGGTCTCAGCTGAAGAAACGTGTTGCTCTACTCTGTGTCTCTTGGAAGAGGAAATGAGGCTTTGGCACTGCAGTTATGCCTCTGCCAAATGTTCAAGGCAGACAGAGCAGTAAAAAGGATGTTTGGGGCATGTGAGGAGACTCAAAGAGAAGCAGAAATCTGGGCTGTAAGAATAAGAGGAAAGACTTTTCAGCCACAGTTTGTGTTCTGTACTCTGCATTCCCTAGGCTGATTCACTGATCACAGTGTCATGGAATGGGTTGGGTTGGAAAGGACCTTAAAGCTCATCTCATTCCATGGGCAGGGATACCTTCCACCAGCCCAAGTGGCTCCAAACCCCATCCATCCTGGCCTGGAACACTCCCAGGGGTGGGGCAGCTACAACCTACTGATGCTCAAGGCTTACTTCCCCTCTTGCAGTTTTAGGAACATGGTGCAGAGGGATTGTTCTGGATCAGCCTTTCCACTGACACTGAGGCATCCTACAATGTGCTCCTTCCGATAAACTTGAGGAAAACCTTTGCGTTCCTCTTCGTCCCATTTTACAAGCAATTCCTTAGCCAACTGTGGGCCAAATGTCCCCATTTAGTGCCCCCCAAATGCAACATGTGCTCTGAGCCACGGTGTGTGTGTTCTCTGGCAGCTGCTCCTGGGCCACACAGACCTCTACCAGGAGAGACATTTATTTTTGGCCCAATTTTCAAGCTGGCATGAGGCAGTTTGTGGGTAGTCAACAAAGACATCAGTTTGGAAGGGAAGCTGAGCCTTGCTGCTTTTCCATACAGCCACTCATTAATCTTAGTGTCCTGGAAATGTTTAGTTTTAAGATAGGAAAAGGGAAGGAATTAGGATGGGGGTTTTGCATACCTTGAGGCTGATAATTATATCCAAACTGCATGATGAAAGTCTTTGTCCTACAGAGAGCATCGCTGGAAAGATTATCTTAGGGAGTGATCAAAGAAGGAGGAAAATAAATCTGGGAGCAATGAAATGCTGGGGAATAGTTGTCTTTTCCAGCAGGAGAGGCTGGGGGTGGAGAGCTGTTTGCCTTGTCACAGGATCTGTCCTGAAGTGCTGCTGCAGAGTAGCAGTGACATGGGGAGGTTGCTGCAGTGAGGACAAGGAGAGCAGAGGTGCAGGTGGACACTGAGGTGCCTGAAATAAGGGTGGGTGTTTGGACAGGGGAGTCTCCTGCTCTCTCACTGGGCAGTGTGTTTAAATGCACAGACATCGTGAGAAGGAATAAGCAGCAAAACACAGGGATTTGGGTAGGGTTTGGAAATGGAAACTTGCTGCAGAGGCTGGTCCTGGTGGGCTGATGTCATGGTGGCTGTGACATCCCTGGCCAGAGATACCTGCTCTGAGGGAACTTCATTTTAGTGAGCTGCTTCTGGTTTGTGTTGAAGCATTGAAAGCTCAGGCTTTGCCATGGGAATTGCCAGTTGGAGTGTGCAGGACCCTGTGCAGAGCCAGGCGAGACTCTCAGGTGTGCAAGGAGTGCTGGTTTGCTGGGGCTGCAAGGTACAGGCTGTAGCTGCATTTCTCTGAGTAGAAGTCAGAGAGCAATGGGGACTTCATGTGTCCTCTTCACCCAAGGTCCCTCTGTGCCCCTCATGGGATGTGGGATGCATGTTGCAAAGCAGGTGGCACTAGCATTGGTACTGAGCAGGTACTGAGTCCTCAGGGACTGCTCAGCCTGAAATGTTTTCGTGCATCCAAAGGTTTCATTCCCTGTCGCTGCATGCCTGTTTGAAGGTTCCATTCCCTGTCACTCTGTGCCCATCCCAAAGTTCCATTCCCTGCCACAGGAGCTGACTGGGCCAGGTGAGTAGCAGCCCCAGTGCAGCCATTAGTCTGGTTTTGCTGGGAGTGGAACTGCCTCTCTTGTGGAGGTCGGGACTGGAGAGCACTGCAGCGATTTTTGCAGAGAATTGGATAGAAATCCTGTCCCAGCCTGGCAAGTCCAACAGAATAAACAGCCATTAGCAGTCGGGTTTGCATCCAGCAGTCTCAGTCCCAGTCTCCCTGGGAGCTGCAGGACCCAGCCCTGCCCTTGGGGTGCTGCAAGGGGTGCACAGGTGAACTGAACCAGCTGTGTGTGTGCAAGGAAAACCAAAGCTGAGGGAAAGGCAGGCAGTTTGTGTTTGACATTCTCAGCAGAGAGGAATAATTTTGTAAACATAGCTCCATGCTGCAAGGTCCATTGCCCTGGCTCCAAGTCCGTGGGACTAATTGCAGGACCCAGCCCTGCCCTTGGGGTGCTGCAAGGGGTGCACAGGTGAACTGAACCAGCTGTGTGTGTGCAAGGAAAACCAAAGCTGAGGGAAAGGCAGGCAGTTTGTGTTTGACATTCTCAGCAGAGAGGAATAATTTTGTAAACATAGCTCCATGCTGCAAGGTCCATTGCCCTGGCTCCAAGTCCGTGGGACTAATTACCGAGCTGTCAAATTAACACAACACATCCCCTGCTCTGCTCTGGGTGCCTCTCCTGGAGAGCTGCTGCATCTGAGTCCATCCCTGCCACCCCTGCTGCTCCCACTGTCCCAGGGACTCAGGTTTTACAGGAGCTGTGTCAGATGTGTCACTGTTCCATGAGCAGCACTGACGTGGGGCAGAGGCAGCAGGAAGGATCAGCCTTTGGATCCTCAGCCCTGAGCCCCACATGCCTTTGTAAACATTCCCTGTGTTCTCCTCAAAGGTTGCAGGTGAAGGAGGAATTGCACTGGAGCAGTTCTGCTTTAAATCTGTTTTTTTTCCTGACACTTAGATGAGGGAAAGGCAGGCAGTTTGTGTTTGACATTCTCAGCAGAGAGGAATAATTTTGTAAACATAGCTCCATGCTGCAAGGTCCATTGCCCTGGCTCCAAGTCCGTGGGACTAATTACCGAGCTGTCGGCTCAAATTAACACCTCCGCTGCTCGGCTCTGGGTGCCTCTCCTGGAGAGCTGCTGCATCTGAGTCCATCCCTGCCACCCCTGCTGCTCCCACTGTCCCAGGGACTCAGGTTTTACAGGAGCTGTGTCAGATGTGTCACTGTTCCATGAGCAGCACTGACGTGGGGCAGAGGCAGCAGGAAGGATCAGCCTTTGGATCCTCAGCCCTGAGCCCCACATGCCTTTGTAAACATTCCCTGTGTTCTCCTCAAAGGTTGCAGGTGAAGGAGGAATTGCACTGGAGCAGTTCTGCTTTAAATCTGTTTTTTTTCCTGACACTTAGATGTATAAAAGATGTCACTGAGTTTCTTCCTTGGTGAAGGAGATGTTATCAGAGGCCCTGGCAGGTCTGCGAGGTGCCCCTCACTCTCCCCTGCCTTTTACTCTCTTTCAAGGGTTTAAAGAATTCAAACCATCCAGATTTCCCCCTGGTCCTTATGTAACTCCTGCACAGGTCTGAGTGTAGGAGGCAGAGCTCTGGGCATCCCCCAGATGATGTTACCTGCCTTACCTGCCTCAGAGGCTCAGGCTTTTTTCCTCCCACAGACTGTAGCACTTTGCCTCTCTCCATCTCTTGTTCATTATCCTTCCCCCTCCAGGTTTTCTTTCCTGCTAATGGAAGCTTCCAGGATTTAACATTGTTATATATTTACAGCCTATACAATTTTACAGTATTATATAAATATTATGCAGTATTATATAAATATATATTTACGGCCTGTACAATTTACAGCCTTATAAGACTTTACATTGTTATGTTTTACAGCCTTGCCAGTGTCTGAAGGGGCTCTAGGAGAGCTGGGCAGGGACTTTCCACAAGGACATGGAGTGACAGGACAAGGGGGAATGGCTTTCCACTGCCAGAGAGCAGGGATAGATGGGATATTGGGAAGGAATTCCTCCCTGTGAGGGTGATGAGCTACTGGCATAGGTTG